AGCCTGCTGACTGAGAAGTAAACCCCTGTGGGGCAGGGCACACCTCTGCCTGTGGGGTTTTGTTGGGGTGACCTGAGCTGACCGAGACAGGTGCCTCCCACTCCCTGTGGCAACCACTGGGGCTCTGGATACAAGTGGCACCATGCCACCCACTCTGAGCTGGGTGGCGGGGATGTGGGCTTGGGTCCCCAGGCTGGGCCCGCCCCGGTGGCTGACACCCAGCCTGACACCTCACAAGGGGGCCCCAGGCAGCTGTGATTAGGCGCCTGTCACAGAGCAGGGACCTCTCATTGGCAGCAGAACCCCCACACCTCAGGCTCAGGGCTCCAGCCTCGGCTGTCCCAGGAGGGGCCCACCGGCCTCCTTTCATGCAGTGGGGCAGGCGGGGCTCATCATCTGTCCAGAGGCCCCCACTGTGGGCCCACGAGGCTCCCCTGCGCTCAACACAGACAGAAGGGATGAGGGGCCCAGGAGCAGGCAGATAACCTCTGGATGGGGACTCTGGGGCTGAGGCCTGGTGACGGTGCTCCTGAGCCCAGCCGCCTCAGGTGCTATCCTGGCCTTGAAGCGGGCCCTGGACCTTCAGGCCCCTGAATCCCCTCGGGGTGGAGGGCAGCATGCACAGTCACCCCGGGGCTCCCCTGGGTGGGTAGCCCTGCCCTTGCTCAGAGGCAGAGGGCCTGAAGGTGGGTGCTGGAGAAATAGGCCTTGTATGCAGTGCAGGACTCTGCTCAGGGCCAGGTTTCATGACAGAGAGGGACAAACAGAAGGAGGCAACTGATCATATGCCTCTCCCCAAAGTGCACCTGTCTCCCCTTATCCAGGGTCCCCCAGAACCACAGGGGAACAGTGACAGCCTTGCTGTGGGTTCCTCAGCCCCAGTGTGTGTCTCTGCCCACCAAGGCCACCCTCCTGACCACCAAGACTGGTGTGCTGGCTGCTGGGGTCAGGGGAGCCCCATCAAGCCAGCCCAGGGAGCCAGGGACAGGTGGCCTGGGTGTCACCTCTGATCACACTAACCAGGAGCAATGCCAGAGTAGGGAGGGCTCTTGGGTGCTGGGCTGGAAAATGCAGGGATCCCATGGACTCTGCAAAGCCTGGAGGTTTCCGAGGAGGGAGGTGGACAGGGTGGGGTGGGGGTGGGTGTTCAGTTTCCTCCCAAGGGTGGGAGCAGAGGGAAGGGAAAGAAAGAGGAAGGGAGGAGGGGAGGGGAGCAGAGGGGAAGGGAAAGAGAGGGGGAAGTAAAGAGAGGGAGAGGGAAGGGAAGGACAGGAAGGGAAGGGAAAAAGGGGAGGAAGAGAAGAAGAGAGAGTTGGATATAGGTGGGTGGATATTTGGATGGGTGGATTAATGGGTCGAAAGGTAAATAAAAAGGAGAAAAGGAAGAGGGAGATAGGAAAGGAGACAGATGATGGGTGGACAGATGGGTAGATGAATAGTTGGATGGATGCATGAGTGAGTGGGTGGAAAGTTGGGTATTTGAATGGATAAGTGGATTCGTGAGTGGACGAGTAGATGGATAGATGGGTGGATGGATGGTGACCAGATAGAAGAATGGATGGATGGATGGATGGGTGGATGGATGGTGACCAGATAGAAGGATGTGTGGATGGATGGATGGGTGGATGGAAGGGTGGGTGGATGGATGGTGACCAGATAGAAGGATGGACGGATGGATGGATGGGTGGTTGGAAGGGTGGGTGGATGGATGGTGACCAGATAGAAGAATGGATGGATGGATGGATGGGTGGACGAGCGGGTGTGTGGAAGGGTAGACAGATTGAAGGGTGATGGAAGGGTGGGTGGATGGATGGCACAAATTTAATCTCAGAGACTCAACAGGGCTAAGCTACCTAGGGGCTTGGGTTCCTCTGGGGGTGCCTGGGGCAGCAAGGTGCAAGAGCAGCCATCACCAGGGAACCTGGAACTGCTTACGACCCTGGACTCCCACCAGTACCCCTGGAATATGTGCCTGTCCTCTCCCTTGCAAGGACGGTGTGCCTCCTGCCTCCTGGAGGGCCACCTGTTTCTTTGGGCTGCTGATGCTCCAGCCAGGACCTCTGAGAGAGGATCCGCTCACAGATGAGCCCCATCTTCTGGTCACTCATTGGCAGAGGCTCTGGGCACCAGCGACAAATGGAACCAGGGACAGAGGGGTGGACAGGCAGGCTGGGACCGGGATTTGGGGGCCCAGGTACTCCAAGCCAGGCCAGAGGGAAGGAAGGGCACCGAATAGGCCAGGGTCACCAATTCCAGTCTACACACCTGGCAGCTCCCAGGACCCGGGGTTTGGGGGCGGGGGTCTGTGTCGGAGCAGGGAGGGCAGTAGCCACAATCACTGGGGCAGAAATGAGTGTGTTCTTTCCTGGGGAGGACGGAAGCGAAGCCCCCAGGAGGAGCACGGTGTTGCCCGCCTGCCCGCCCGCCACAGGATGGGGTTATAACCATTCGCTCATAAACTTGCTCGAGCGATTTACGAGGCTTGGTGGCTCTCGGTGGGGGCGGCAGATGCAGGCGGTTTCTAATTGGAGTTGAGAGAAGAGAGGAAGGCTCCCTTCCTGGGCCCGTGACATGACTGTGTCCAGCAGCCATCGAGTGTGTCTGTGGGGCCAAACCCCGCAGCCCTGCGTGACCAGCACCCAGGGTCCCGGGCCTGAGGCCCATGTGTCCCTGCCTCTGAGGTAAGGTCGGGGGAGGAAGCACCAGCTCCCCATCCAGGACTTGAAGGGGCCCAGGAAGCTCCCAGCCGGCGAGGGTGGAATTTCTGCCTCGGGGGAAGCTCCAACCAGCACAAAGTCACGTAGGCTGCAGCTCATAAACCCACTGGCCCTCTCAGGGCCGCGTGCTGCCACCCGCAGCAGTCCGTGGCTCCTCAGGCCTTTGGTCTTCAGGCCAGAGGGACGATCATCAGCCCAACTGGATGCTCAGCGGGCATGGGCTCTGAGCGGGGCCTGACCCCGGAGCCTCCAGACTCAGACAGCAGACTGGAAACCTGGGTCAAGGAGCCAGCCCGTGCGTCCCTGTGTCCAGGAGTCCCTCATGCCTTGGGAGGCCCATTCCTGGCTTCAAGCGCCTTTTGCAGGGGGACAAGGAGGAAAAGTGGCTTCTCCCCGGGTGTCAGGATGGGTTGGAGGTGGCAGTGTCAGGAAGAGGAGGACACTTGGGGACACAAGAGGACCAGCACCAGAAGGTCAGGCCTCAAGGTCAGGCAGAGACTGGGAGCAGCTGTCCAGAGGAGGAAATGGCCCAGCCCCAAGCTGGAGGCTGAGGAGAAGCCAGGCTTGGGCAGACCGACGTGAGACAGGCTGCTCACGCTCTGGTGAGAGGTGCGGCCCCCAGGGCCTGTGTTGTTGGAGCGGCAGGGCTACAGAGCCTCAAACTGCACACAAGCCGCGTGTGCCGAGGCCGCTCAGCTTGCAGCCCAGCACTGCCCCACGCCCCCGCAGATGCCCAAGTGCACACAGACCAGGGCTCGGGGCCCCGCTTGCTGCAGACCTCATTGCAGCTGAATTGGAAGCCTCCAGCGGGCATCCCTGCCGCAGCCCCCGAGAGCTGCCCACGTGGGTGCTGTGATAGGAGCAGGCTGGAACCTGACACCCCCAAAGTGCCGGACCCCAAATCTCAGCCCCACCGTGAGGGCAGACAGTGCATGCGGCATGTTCAGAGTTGGGGTCTGGTAATGGAACTCAAGGAGGGAACCCCGTGTCTACCATGCTGACGGGATGGGCCTCATAGACAGCACCCCGCTTCCGAGGATGCTCCCTGTCCCTACACCGAGGTCTCCCCCGCGCCCCGCCGTCTCAGGAGCCTGGGGTCTGAGGGGCCCCACCCCAGAGTCTGTGGGCCGCAGCAGAGCTGAGCGTGGTAGACCCAGCTGATTGGCAAGGTAGGGTCTTGGTTGGCATGAACTCGAGCTTTTACCCCAGTGTCCTTCGAGGAAAAGTCTCCGATGATTATCAAGGTTTTATTGACAACCCCAGGGCAGAGGTACTGCAAAAGTCACCTGTCAATGCCTTTGGCCTGTGTCTATAGCCGCAGTCCATGTCACATGTCCACACCACATGTCCACACCACATCCTGTGCCAGGCGTCTGCACCCCCACCCGTAGCATGTGTCTTGCTCAGCCTGCTGGCAGTTCGAAGGGTCAGCAGGCCGTAGATGAGGAGCCCAGGGGTCCCCTGAGGGATGTGGCCCCGAGTCCTCTGGAGGTGGGGCAGAGTGGGAGTGGAGGGACTTTTGGAGAGGTGGAAGGGAGAGTCAGAAGAGGTCGCTTCTCCAAGGCCACCTCTGCCCCAAGGCGCAGGGCCAACTGGGCCCATGAAGTCCCCTCCCACTGCCCTCCTCCTGCTGGGCATCAGGTGGCAGGCCCTGGTGAGTGCTCCGGGCCTCAGCCCTGGCTGTGCCCCATTCCCAGCCCCAGCCTCTGCTGTCTGCAGAGATTGAGGGGTCCTGAGCTGGGCTGGAACAGGAAGGGTACCTGACACAGATTCCCCAGGCTGGGGAATCTTTTTTAGCATCTACCTGCCTGTGGACACAGAGCAAGAGCCAAAGGACACTGAGCAGGGAAATCCCCGAGGAATTCCTGGGGGCATCTGCATCCAAAGAGAAACTCTGGGTGCCTGCTGCTGTGGGGTGAAGGCATTGCTCCTCTAACCCAGTGCTTGGTTCATTGCCTGGGCAAAGGGAGAAGGTAGGCACAGCAGGCTGGGTGGCTTCACCCCCTCGGTGCGGGCCCAGGGCTCTCAGCTGGCCCAGGCCGGCCTGCCATCCTCCCTGGGGCACAGCGCCCCACATCCAGGGCATGGAGGACAATCGCTGCCTGGCTGGATTGTTACCCCGGGGACTGTCAGCCCTGGAAGCACCCCCTGGCTGAGCTGCCGCTGAGAGGGCTATGTGGAGGCTGCGTGGAGGCGGAGGACTCCTGGGCCTGGGGCCACCTGCTTACCCTGCAGGGAGGCGCCAGGCACTGCGGAATCCCACGGCCTTCCGGAGGAGCCTACTGTGACATAGGTGGCCAGGAGGGGCCAGCCTTTATCTCGGGGGCCTCAGGGGGACGGCTGCAGGCATGTCGAGCCTGCATGCCTTGAACTCCCCAGCTGTAATCTTTGACAATGGCTCTGGGCTCTGCAAAGCTGGGCTGTCGGGGGAGATCGGGCCGCGCCACGTCCTCAGGTCTGTCGTGGGGCACCCGAAGGTCAAGCCGTCACCGGAGGAGTCCCACCAGGAGTACGTTGTGGGGGCCGAGGCCCTGCTCAAGCAGGAGGCGCTGCACCTGCATGTGCCCATCGAGCGGGGCCTGATCGTGGGCTGGGATGACGCGGAGAGGCTGTGGCAACACCTGTTCGAGTGGGAGCTGGGCGTGAAGCCTAGCGAGCAGCCAGTGCTGGTGACCGAGCCCTCGCTGAACCCCAGGGAAAACCGGGAGAAGACAGCTCAGGTGATGTTCGAGAGCTTCGGCGTGCCTGCCTTCTACCTGTCGGACCAGGCGGTGCTGGCGCTGTATGCCTCAGCCTGCATCACGGGCCTGGTGGTGGACAGCGGGGAGGGCGTCACCTGCACCGTCCCCATCTTTGAAGGTTACTCCCTACCGCACGCCGTGGCCAAGCTGAATGTGGCGGGCAGGGACATCATGGAGCAGCTCACCCGGCTCCTCCGGGCGAGAGGGCGGACCTTCCCCTGCCTGCTGGACAAGGCCCTGGTGGAGGACATCAAAGAGAAGTTGTGCTATGTGGCCTTGGAGCCCGGCAAGGAGCTGAGCCGGTGGCCGGCAGGCATCCTGCAGGAGTACAGACTGCCGGATGGCAATGTCATCTACCTCGGCGAGCAGCTGTTCCAGGCCCCTGAGGCCCTGTTCTCGCCCGAGCAGGTGGGCACCCAGAGCCCGGGGCTGGCCGAGATGGTGTCAGGCAGCATCGCCAAGTGCGATGCCGACATCCAGAAGATGCTTTTTGGGGAGATAGTGCTGTCAGGGGGCAGCACACTGTTCCAGGGGCTGGACAACCGGCTGCTGAGGGAGCTGGAACCGCTGGCCCCCACAGGGATCCCCATCAAGATCACCGCGCCCCCCGACCGCTGGTTCTCCACGTGGATTGGGGCTTCCATTGTGACCTCTCTGAGCAGCTTCAAGCAGATGTGGGTCACTGATGCTGATTTCAAGGAGTTCGGGACATCTGTGGTCCAGAGGAGGTGCTTCTGAGGGCGCTGCACCCAGGACTGGGGGTCCCCGGGGCAGGGCTGGCCTTGGGCGTCCTTCAGTGAGGTGTTCAATAAAAGGCAAAATGGTGGCTCGCCTGGCCATGGTGGGCTTGGGTCCTTCTCAGTGGCCCCTGTGTCGCTTCCGCCCTGGGGGTGTTAGGTGGCCCTGTGCCCACTCCGCCCTTCTTCCTGAGAAAGCCTGGTGGGAGTGAGACCCTGTCAATGCAGTGCTCTGAGGCAGGGCCTGAGCCTCAGGCCAGAGGCGGATCAGCGGCCTGGAGTTTCATTTTAAACCATCAGGGGGGTGAGGAGGGACAGGCAGATGGTGGCCCTGCCCTGAGGTCCCCACCGAGCACCCCAGGGATGTCTCGGCTTCCCCGCTCAGGGCTCCCCCAACTCCTCCGCTGGGTGATGGTAGCTTTCCTGTCTTTACTTTCAAGAATGTTTACAGCATCCTTGTTAGGGGCAAAACACTAGAAATGGAGTTAACCGCTGTCAATAAAGTGACGATTGAATAATTTATGCATAAAGGGAATTTTCCTATGTGAATTTGATGGAATTTGCCCAAAATACAGTGGTGCCTCAGTTTATGAACGCTCTTGTTTGTGGTCCAAATTGTTCGCAAAATTTTGTTTTTGTCTGCAAACTCTTCACTGGGCAACAAACACATCTCCAGCCATCTTTGCTGCACACACACAAACGTGGCCCGTCTGCACCAAAACTGCAGGACAAATTAAGTTGGAGGACTGAGGTACCACTGCGTTATTGGGAGAGAGATGTCCTCACAGGATGGTCCCTCCCCCTTCTCGTATAGAGGACTGTGTGGGTTTTTATGCAGACGAGAATAGAGAGATCCACAGGAGAAAGAGGATGAGGAGACTCAGAGGGGAGGAAGGTGGAAAGAGTGAAGGAAAAATGAAAAACAAAGCATTATGCGGAAGAAATGGAGCCTGCATGACACAGACTCTTATCTAGGATTAGTGGCTCTGGGCACTGAATTTACATTGTGAGTCCTTTACATCATTTGCCTTTCAACCTGTGTTTTATTTGAAGCGAGCCCATGTGGTTTGGAGGCAGCATGTAGTTGGGTCATTTTTTAAATCCACTTGCAATCTCTGTATTTTAATTATGTGTTTAAACTGATTCAGGAAATTGATACGTTGTAGATTAAGCTTTCTCTTTTATTGTTTTCTGTTTGCTTCCCGTTTCTCATTTCTGTTTCTCTTTCCATACCTTCTTGAGGGTCATGAACGTTTTTTAGGATTCCACCTTGATTTATTCGTTGTGTTTCTGAGTGTATTGCTTCGTGTGGTATTTGAGGGGTTTCCCTATGTATCCTACCACACATGTGTGTATATGTATAGATGACATCACAATGAACTGGGTGACATTTTACCAGTTTGAGTAGAGCATAAAACTCTATTTTTGTTTAGAGCCTTTATCCTCCTCTTTAAAAACAACACCATCCTGTTTCTCGTATGTACATTAAGCACAACATCAGATGGTATAAGAATTTTTCTTCAACCACCAAATTTGACTTAAGAATGGTCTACTATAGTTACCAAGTCCAGTGTTACTTTGTCCTTTTCGAAATTCCAAGAACTTGTGTTAGTCAGCTGTTGCTGTGACTAAATACTTGAGAAAAACATCTACGAGGAGGGAAGGTTTATTTTGGCTCGTGATTCCAGAAGCTTCAGTCCATGGTCAGTTGGCCTCATGGCCTCAGGACCTGTGCTGAAACATCACAGCGATGGTGTGGTAAAGGGAAGCTGCTCACCTCATAGCAGCCAGGAGGCAGAGAGAAAGAGACAGAGACAGAGAGGAGGGGCCAGGGACAGGGTGTAGTCCCCAGGTAACACCCCAAGCCCCGTTCCTCCAACCAGGCCCCACCTCCTCACGGTCCATTCAGCTATGCACTCAATGGGCCAATCCGATCACCTCGAGGCCTCTCAATCCAATCAGAGTGACAATCAAGGCTGTCACAGCACTTCTCCAAGAGTAGCTTTGCTAGCAGCAAATTCCTGTAGTGTTCCTTCGCCTGGGAATGTCTAAATTTCTCCTTCATCCCATGCTGTAGAGAGCGTCTCCACCTGACTGGAGAATGGTGTGCCCGTTGCTTGTAGGCTTTGTGGTTTCAGACCAAAACTACTTCCTTCATTGATGTCACCCCCTGTCTGCTTTTAATGTGCATTTCTCCAACAGCCAGAGGAGCTGAAAATGCTTTCATGTATTTATTGGCCAATTGTACTTCTTCTGAGAAGTGCCTATTCATTTTGATTGGCCATGTTTAGACTGGCTCCTTTACTTCTGGAGGTCTCATTTTTTAGTTCTTTATGTATTCTAGATATTAGGGCATGTCTGTGGCGTAGCTTGTAACAAATGTTTCCCACTCTGGAGGCTGTCTCTCTACTGTGTTGTTTCCTGTGTCTGTGGAGTAGCCTTTTAATGTGCTATAACCCCGTGTGCTGATTCTTGGTATTAGTTCCTGTGCAACTAGGGTCTGTTCAGGAAGTCTTCGCCTATTCCTATGTCATCAAGAGTTTTACCAGTTTTCTCTTCCAGTACCCTTGCCCGCTCTTCCTCAGAACAGGCTTTTCTTGGGGATTTCTGGCCCATCCCGGTGGGAGATTTTGAGATAGAGACCTCAGAGCAGCTTGTCAGATACATATGGGAGACACAAGGGAAGCCAGGGCCTCCCAGGCCCCCAGGTCCAGGGCAGCTGCCTCCTCCTTCCCAGCTTTGCTCTTTTGTTGATCTGCTGGGCTGCATGAGGGCGTCTGGGAGTCAGAGGAGGACCTGGGGTGGGGCTCTTGAGAAATCCTTGTGCTATTGCCATAGCGCCTGAAGGTGGCAAGGGAACTTAGCAGACTCCTGGGCCCCCATCAAAGCCTCCTCCTCAGGGCCCTCGCTTTTACAGAGCTTGGGACTTTCCAAGACCACACAAGGAGTTGTGAGCCGAGCTCAGGGCAGAGCCCCAGACCAGGGCTCTTTCCCTGTACACCCCTTCCACACCTTTTTCTACCAGGCTGGTCCCCAGTACCACTACCCTGCATGCAAACGGAAAATAAGACACAACTCTCTTTTTATCCTACAAAACTGCTTTCCTCCTATGGTGGCTGCTGCTGTTGCCATAGTAGTAGCGGAGCTAGGCGTCATCAGTGATTGTGACAATGATGGTGATGATGGTGATGGTGGTGGTTTCTGACCTCAGAGTCTTCTTCAGCACTTTGTCCTCTGCAGCAAAGCAGACCCTTGTGTGCCTCCTAGACTCCATAACAGGAACATCTGCTAGAGTCCATAGCACACCAATCTGGCTTCTGAGTCTGGCTCCTTTGAGTGGTGGAAGGCACTTTGCGGGTTGTCGCTCTGAGGGAGGGAAGTGGGAGGAGCTGTGGCCCCCCTTTACCCCTGCAGCTTGACCCTGCTTCAGTCTGGGGTGTCTACTAAGCGGAACTGGAGCTTGGGGCTGGGTGAAGTGCTTGGAGAGGAGAGCGACGCCTTCCTCTGGCTCTGAGCTGCACAGCCCTTGCTCTTAGCAGCCCACGTTTCTAAGATATGGGTTCCATCCCCAGATCTCGGCAGAGCCTCTCCGGGCCGCGTCCCACACTTGTGCCCCTTTGGTGCCGCACACCATCTGAGAAGCACCATTTGGCTGCTGCAGGCCATGAGTGCCTCTCAAGGGGTTCCTGGTTCAAAACCTGCAGGCAGGAGAGGAGGAGGAGATGGAGAGCAGGAAGCAGAGAACTCGTGACCGGGTCTTCTGGGAGACTGACTGTCCAGTGTCTGGTGGGACCTGGATGCTGCCAGCTCCCACCCCAGGTCCCGAGGACCCCCTGCTGGGGTGGGGGGCGCCAGAAGTGACTGCTGTGTCCATGCTGGTCTGACAACTCTAGAGTCTGGGCCCCTCATGGTCTATGCTGGACAGTGCCCAGGGCTTCCCTGCTCTGCCTTGTTCCCTGCCATGGAACTCAAATCCACACTCCCCACGGCACAGCTGCCATCTGGACAGCAGCTCGGGTTTCTGAGGGGCTGAAGGGTGCTATGTTGTGGTAACGTTTGGGCAAGGAAGTGTCCACCTCTCCAGCACCCCATGGAGCACCCCACAACATGACCACTTCTGGAGACGTCATGGAGGACATCTGCTGTCCCCTGGAGGAGATGCCCCACATCCACGATGGTGGGGTTCAAGGACCTTCCCAGGCCTGCCTCTGTCCGCGTCCTAGAGGGTAACTGCGTGTCCCCAGCACAGCTAGAGCCAGAAGGCAAGACATCAGTGAGCACCCGCCTGGCTGCTGTGACCGAGGAGCCTTTCTTCCTTTGCAAGCCCAGTGGTGGTGAGATTGTTGGGGATGGGGGGGAACCCCACCACTTACTGGAGCAGGAAGTGGGAGTGCTGAGAACAGGTGGGACTCTTTGGTCCTGCATCCCTTGGATGGTCACAGCCACAGGCCCTCCAAGGAGCAGGACCCTCACTGGTGGCTCCAGGCTCTGTGCTCTGCCCTGGTCTGGGACAAATGTGGAGGTGCCCAGGGCTGCCCTGACCCTGAGGCGTGAGACTCAGCTGCTGTTCACTTCACAGGTGACAGGGTCACCGGGCCACCTATGGGATCCCAGTGCAGATGGTGTCCTGGGCGGACACTGGCCAGCTCTGGGAGACCCTGCAGTCACAGCTCCAGAGCTCCTCATGTCTTGGGGATGCTGGCAAAATGGGGCCAGGCCTGGTTGCCCAGGGAGAGCAGAGGCCCAGAGAGCCCATGGCTTCCATGCTGCTCTGGTCAGGGGCCGGCCCTGCCCCTGCCACCCCTGTGACTCCCTGGGTCCCAAATCCTGACCCCAGATTAAAGAGATGGCAGAGGACAGAGTCCCCTGCCCCTCCACTGGGGCAAGGCGGGAGCACCCAGCTCCAGGTGCCAGTTCAGGAGACAGGGCAAGGATGGCTCGAATGTAGGGACAAGAGGGCACCACGAGGACACAGAGACAGACACCAGAGTGGAGGATGCCTGGGGCCACGGGAGCTGGGGTGGCGGGAAGGCTCCGGTCCAGACCCAGTGGACACCACAGCCCAGGACAGGGCCATCAGGCTCCCTTGAATAGGGGTGAGCAGCTCAGGCCCTGCACCCAGGCCTGTGACCCCTCAACTGCTCCTCCCCAGAGCTTGGAGACAGAAGTCCCTCTGCCGGGATGGCGGGGCTAGGCCTTTTGGGGCTGTTAGGATCCCAGCCCGCTTGCACCAGCCCGGAATCTGGTAGAGAAATGGGTCACCTCCTCCACAGTCTAAACACCATGTAGCTGCCCAGATGACGGACAGGGCTCCTGGGGGTCTCGGGGCGCAGACAGAGCCGAGTGAGGGAGCCCAGCGGGGTCCAGGCTGCAGGCACCTGGCGCCCAGTACACGCCCCAGCAGCCCCTCCCAGGTGGCCTTGCCCAGCCATCCCTGCCCACTCTGCTTTGATTCCAAGGCTACATGGGGGACCAGCTGCTCCCCAAGGGCGCCTAGCAACAGGTGGACAGGTGGCCCTGGGGACACAGCAGGTGCCCGTGGGCAGAGGGACCCGTAGGACTTCCTGTCCCTCTCCAGAGGTTCTCCCTGGAGGCGGGGTGGCCGAGGAGGGAGTGACAGGCACCCACGGGGCAGGCTGTGGTGTTCCTCTCCCGTGCGCTGCCCCTCTCTGCCCTCCCGGGGGATTGTCTTGCTCCTGGACAGGACCTGGGCTCTTGGCCTGGCCCGGTCCCAAGAGCAGCCCCCTAGGTAGGGCCAGGGCCCCTCAGCCAGCAGAAACCGCTCTCACCAGGCCGAGACAGGGACACCAGGACCTTCGCAGTGTGGCTAGAACCGGTCCTCAGAATTCTGTGCCACACCTGCCGTGGTACCCGCCACTCCCCGGCCAGCTGGGGGAGAAGCTGTCACCAGGCCGGTTGTACGAAATGGTCAGCAGCAAGTGGCGATCTCTCTCCTCAGCCGCCGTGTGCTTTCTAAGCCTGCTTTCGTCTTTCCCATCAGGGTCCATGTCTGTGCCTGGGGCTTTGCAGCCAGGCTGGGACGCTGTCATCAGATGACAATGCCCGGCGGGAACAATGCACGTATTGTCATGGCCAGCCCTGGCTCCGAGCGGGAAATGTAAGCCCTTCCCTAGTTATCACCCCCAGGGGAGCGGGGCTGGGCTCCAACTCACATGAAGACATAATAATTTTCTCCCATTATTCAAATCTCCTGTTTCTCCTACCCCACCTCCTGGCAGCAGCCAAGTGAGGGAGTGGGTGGCTGGGCTATGCAGGCAGGGCCTGGACACCTGCACACCTGGGCCAGCTGGGGCAAGGCCAGGACCAGGGCCCCGGGCCATCGGTGAGGACACCCCCTGCAGTGTCCTGGACAGCCCCGGCCCTTGGTCGCCTCTTGGCCCGGGGCCTGTGGTGCTCTGGCAGGGCCAGCGATGACGCCGATGCTGGGGAGAGATGGAATCAGAGGGCGGAGGCAGCCCCTCGCCTGCCTAGGCCAGTGAGGGCCAACTGTGGCCAGAGGTGGCTGCCTGGCTCCCAGGGCCGAGGCACACTCAGTTGCCTGTGGCATCAGGACACCCGAGACCCCACCCCGCGCCTGGGGGTGCCGGATGCCTCCCAGAGACCCGCTCCACTCTCGTGGGCTGGGTGCTTGGGCCTGGCCACAAGCGTGAGCCAGTGTAAGTGGATACCTCACAGTTATGCAACGGGGTCCGTGCGGATGGGCCATGAGCACCCGGCCAGCCAAAACAAGCAGCACGCCGGCTCCAGAGTGTGAAATCCAGGCCTCCTTGCAGGAGGTGTAGGGAAGCATCCAGGGGCTGCCCGGGAAGGCACTGGGGGGTGGTCTGGCCTGCTAAGGGGCCAGCCCGGCCCCCACACCACCTGGCGCCCTGGGGACACAGGAGCACGTTCCAGGCCACTCCCTTTGCCCCAGTTGGACTGGGACATTTCACACACAAGCCCTGCTCGTGGGGGTGGGGGCTGTGGCTCCCCTTCCACGCTCTGGGAGCAAGCAGAGCTGACCACAGGCTGCACGCTCTTTGGGAAGCCGCTCTGTACCCTGAGCTGGGTGCTGGAGGTTCTCAGGGTAGCTGGGCAGCAACCACGGAGCCTACAAGCCTTGCTCATCAGAGCTGGAGCTGTGTGCATCAGGAAAAGGGACCGTGGCTGTCCTGTCGGCCAGGTCGTCCCAGAGTCAGGCAGGACCTGGGCAGCACAGATGGCATGGACACTCAGGGAAAGGCAGGCCAAGCAGGGCTGTGTCCAGAAGCCACTGTGGCACAGCCAGGTCTGGGGTGAGTGGCGGACAGTGAGCCTGGGAGGAGAGGCAGACTCAGGAGCCCAGGATGCACCCCGGATGGGGGGAAGGATGCACCTCTTTCTCACCAGCCATCTCCAAGGCCAACCATGGGCTGCGAGAGGCACTGCTCACTGGGAGGCCTGGCTTGCATGGACAGTCCTAGGAAGGACAGCAGGAAGTGGCTGAGGCCGGCCGGGCAGGGGCAGGAGGTGCGGGGCCTCAGCATGGGGGGCCCGGCCGGCAGTGGAGCGATGAAGATCTGGGAGGGTGGAGTGCGAGCCTCCGCCTCGAGGAGCTGGCTGTCTTATCTCCCGGGAGCTTGGGAATGTTTCCCATAAAACTCATCCCCAGGAGCATAAATCAGAGAAGAGGAAGTAGGACTCCATAAAGACTTGAAAATATTGGCTTTGGCCTGCGTGCGTGCGTGGGAGATGAGGGCCTTAAGCAGAAAATCCTGGGCAGGGCAGGCAGTTTCTGAGCTTGATGGCGAAGCCCTGGGGGTCAGGGTAGCCCAGCTGATCCTCCCCGCGTCTGCTCTGCTCCTAAGGGCCCAGACCTGGAGCTGGGAATTGGCCACTGAGGTTGTTGCATCTGAGTCCTGATGCTGGGAGGGGAGAGCCCGGGCCAGAGAGAAGCTGTTCAGAGTGAGGACAGATGGCACCCACAGCCACTGTCTTGATAGGGTCCCCACCAGGCAGGGCGCAGACCCCTGCCCATGGCAGGCCACAGACAGCTAGAGGAGAGCAGATCTGCAGCCATGCTGCTCCAGTCCACCCCCACGCCCACGGCGGGGTCTGGAGTGCTGCGGTGTCTGACCCAGGGTGCTCGGGTGAGGCCCCTGAGAGGAAGGAGGCACAGTGGGCATCCACACGGCCCTGGCTCGCAGGCCAGCTCCCACCCCTGTGCTGTCCTTGCCTGGAGGCTGCAGCCCACATGGAGTGTGGCATCTCCAGCATGGCCCTGTCCTCAGAGAAGAGGCTCTGCCCCTCACCTGGCTGGGGACACCTGAGTCCTCTCCTGCCCCTGCGCCCAGGCCCAGCTCAGCTCGCCTCAAGGGTCCAGCGTGACTGTCCTCTCGTCACCTGGGCAAGTCTCCAGGGATGCGAAGGTTGCTTCTGTGTGTCGCTGTGTCTGGGCCACAGTGCTGGTCTGGACCCTGCTGGGAAGGTTTCCATAAATGTGGTCAGCACTGAATCAGCACTGGCCCCTGTGTTGTGGTGGGCCCTGTCCCATCAGTTGAAGGCCTTATCTGAGAGATGGGAACTCTGCCCTTAGACTCAAGACTGAGACATTAGCTCTTCCCAGGGCTCCAGGCCCTCAAACTTGCTCAGCCCCTCAGGTACAAGGCCAATTGCTTAAAACACCCACCCCTAGGTACACGCTTGACACACACACACACACACACACACACACACGCTCACACACACGCACGAGGCATGCATAGATTTTAGTACACATCTTGTTGGTTCTATTTTCTAGAAGCCTAGGTTACTTTTCTGGAAACCAGTGAATAAAACGTAGGAGCCAAGCTTTCAGAATACAAATAAAAATTTAAATCCCTGCAACAAAACCACAGCAAAGCCCGGACTTGGAAGAAGAAATCCCTGCAGGGCTGTTGTGGGCAGTGCCCAGCAGGCATGGTGGGAGCCCCAGAGCCCCGCCTGCCGATGGAGCTGCAGAGCTGGTCCTGGGCTGTGACTCTGGCCCCTGTCCTGGCCCTCTGCTTGGGACCCTCCAGAGGCAGTGCAGACTGCAGTGTGGGCACACACACATCACCAGGCATGCAGTGCTCTGAGCACAGCTGTGCTGGGGAGGAAGCCCTTGATGCAGGGGACCTTGGGGTACACTTCATTCATAGACATCACACACAGACACAATACACATGTACATATGCAGGCACTCTCGTGTGTGCGTACACATGCATACATGACCATGCATACATGCCTGTGCCAGTGTGAGGCGAGCATGCGTGTGTAAGCACACCCACACTCACACTGAGCGGTGTGTAACAACACTCGCTTCCACACCCATTAGTCCCAGCCCCGCCCTGGACCCACTACAGCCACTCTTGGCTGGGCCTGGGCTTTGCAGAGAAGACTCGTGCGTGACCTTCCAGTGACAGTAAATGCATGGACTCCTCGGCCTGGACGGGCTATTGCTGGTGTTGCCAGTGGTGACAGAGTGCGCATGTGCGTGGGTGTGGTGTGTGATGTGTTTGTGTGTGTTCTGCATGCATGTGTTGGATATGTGCACACATGTGTGACGCACATATGTGCTCCGTGTGCATGTTTGTGTTGAGTATGCATGTGCCACGTGTGTTACATGCACGTGCTCTGTGCATGCATGTTGTGTCTGTGTGTGTCTACTCTGCTCCCTGCTGCTAGTTTTTGTCATTTCTGTCAGTACCCAGCATGTTGTAAAGGTCTGTCTTCTTGGCAGTGCTGGTTTCTCGCTGCTGTGGGGCGTCCTGAGTGTCCCCCACCCAGGCCGAGGCCGACATGTCTCTGCTCGGGCAGGGCTGAGCCAGGCACCCCACGCCTGTGCCCTGCCTGTGTGGCCTGGGATGAGTCTCCAGATGGGGTGGGGGTGACAGAGCCAGCACAGTGTGGGCCCCTCAGCTCTGCAGGGTGCTCTCCAGATGCTAGTGTAGGGGGGACCTGTTTCCCCACAGCTAACCAGCACTTGGTATTATTTGACTTTCAAATGTTTGCAAGTTGGTTGGGCTCACAGGAGGTGGAAAATCATTCCTGAAATTTGCACATCTCTGATTTCTATCAGGTAGAAAAGCTCTGCGTGTATCTGGGCCCCAGAGTCCCTGTCTCCTGCTCTGTCTCCGTGTTGTTCCCCATGCCAGTCTCTGATCCTCTGGACCGGTTGTGGAGGGTTTCTGCAGGACACAGACCCCTAATCCTCCTCGGGCTCACTGATCTGCAGCCCAGGGCTACACTGCCCCTGCCTCCCCTGGCCAACCCCTTCTGCACCAGCCATAGGCCTTTCCCCACACTTTCTTTCCTTAATAGACCCGTGGAGGTTTTATCTTTCACACTGGGACTTTACCCATCCAAAGTGCACTTGTGGAGTGGAGCGCCTTTTTGGTAGCAAGTCCATCTTCCACATAGCCCCTAAGCCATCTGTCCTTTTCCCAGAGGCCACGGGCTCTCTGCTGATACCCAGCCTTTCTGTGCTGTGTCTCTGCCACCCCCACAACCATTCCCAAGGCCTCCTCTTGCTACTATGCTGGGTGCTGGGCTCCAGCACCGGTCTCTGGGGGAGACAGCACTTGCAACATTCTGCTGTCTGAATAGACCCTTTGACCAAGCATTCCGCATCCGTGGACGCACGGGCTGTTTCTGCTTGTGTAGTATGTTGAGTAAAATTGTTGCGAACAATCTTTTCATATGGTGGACATGTGTTTTTGATTCTCTTAGGTCCTCATCATAGAGTGGGACTTTTAGGTCACGAGTGGTTGTGCTTTTATCAGAATAAACTACTAGATCTTTCTGCACACCCACCAGCCCCATACAAGGTTTCTGGGGGCCCCTTCTGCCAGGACGTGGGGGTCTGTCTTTGCGGCTTGAGCTGCTCTGGTGGGTGTGGATCCAGTCAGCTAGTGTGGTATTCGGGACTTCTATCCTATCCTCGTTAGTAGGGAAAATGGGTGCCCCCCCCGTTTTAGTCTCCCTACCTGCCTCCCTCACTCCCTCTTCCTTTTTTCCCCTTTCTTTTGCACCAGTGTCCAGATTTGGAACTGAACCAACACCAGTCTTTTAAAATGACTCAGGGGCTTCCTCCTTTTGCTATGTTTTGGAAAATCCGAGTAAGATCATCAGCACCTGGCCCTTGAGCCATCTGCCACCCGCTCACCTGCAGACTCTGTGGACATGGACTCTTTTTGGAGCAGGGTAAGTTCTGTGACTTCCATTTCTGATATATTTTTCGATGTCCTTTTGCGCCAGATTTCGGACTTCTCACTTATCCCAAAATGTGTCCGTTTGTTACCACAAAGCCTTCCTTAAATGTCCCTGCCCAGCAGGCAAGCCCTGGGATCCCCTGAGCCAGAGAGCAGCTGCAGCTGGCAGGAGCCTCGAAGGAGAGGGGTCTTAGGGCTCTGTGCAAAGGGCTTGGGGCTTCTCCATCGCTGCTCTCTCCCCCACCCTGGGCAGGGGCTGCCAGGGACCGTGGTCAGCAACGCCTGCATGCAGGTCTCGGGGGAGGTCTGTGCGACCCTGGAGACCTTACCTGGGAAATGGGTGTGGCGACACCTGCCTGGGGTGTGTACGGAGGAGGAGAGGACGGGGTCCCTGCTTCAGGTGTGTGCGACAGGGAGGAGGTGGTCTCACTGAAAAGCGGGTGCCAAGCACCCCTCCCAGCGGCTACTCCAGCACTGTTTGTTTCCTACTTCCCTCCCTGGGGAAACCAGCCACAGCGAGGCCCTGAAAGCTTCTGTTCTTCCTTTCAAAGGGCAGGAGGTGTCTGGTAGCAGAACTCGAGGCCATGAGATCCTGGGTAGGAGGTCACAGGGAGATTCCTGGGGCCCCTCAAAACCACCCAGCGTGCATGAGGTCTGGCTACTCAGAGCACACAGGGCATAATCCTGCCCAGGAGAGCCCAGCCCTGGCTCGAGCACAGGGAGGGAGCTGACCTGAGGGTGGAGCTTGAGGAGTCCAGAGTCCCACAGATATTCCAGGAGGGGAACTCAAGTTAGCATCACACATCAGCATCGATTTCCGGTTTCCATAGATAGTGAGGGTCATGGGAAGTGTTAATGTTGGGCAGAGTTGGCAAAGAACACACCTTTGCTAAGTGTGAAGTCATGAACTTGTAAAAAAGAAGCAGGGACATAGACCCCACAACCAAAAGCAAAGCCAGTAATCAGAAACAGACCCAGGACTGACCTAAGTGAGTAAATGAAAATATAAGCAAAGATTGCTAAGGTGACCATCACAAGTGTAATCCACGTTAACAAAGGGATAACAGAGAGGAAAACATAAATCCCTTTAGCAGAGACTCAGAAGGTTCTAAAAAGATCAAAAATGCACTTCTAAAGATGAAAAATATATTTTCTAAAATAAAGAATATATGGAATGGGATTAATGGCGGCAGGGCAGACTGAAAAAAATGACGATCATGGGCTTTAGGTTGGCAATAGAAATCACCCAACATGATTAAAACAAAACAAAACAAAACAAAACGTGATGAAAGAAGTGGCCAGAACATCTGCAGCCGGGTAACACCGGACCATCTAACATCGGGGGAGGTAAGACACTATGGACAGTGACGTCTATTACAAAACACTGAAATTTTTCAGGTTTTGATAAAAACTATCAATTCACAAATCCAAGGATCTCAGTGAACCAGAAACAGAAAAAAAATGTAGAAAACCATACCAAAAAAAGTAAAAAATAACAACCCCAAAACCATACCAAAAAAATACCAAAAAATGCGGAAAACCATACCAAAGCATATCATCATCAAATTGGTAAATCTTATACGTAGTCAGAGAGAAAAAGACACACACTAATAACGTAGATCACCAACACAATTCAGTTGGGAAACAAAAGCATTCGACAAAATGTTGCTTCCGTTGGCAAACTCTGCATGGGGTGACAAACACAACCATGGGCATCTTCCCCACGCAAATACAAACACAGCCATCTTCCCCAAAATAGTAAAGCAAATTAAGATCTTAAACCAAGGTACCACCGTACTGTGTACAAATGAAGAAAGATAAGTATACAAGTAGATTTCTCATCAGAAACTCTGCAAGCTAGAGGAAATGAGGACACTGTTTAGAGTACTGAAAGAAAAAACAAACTATCAACCTAGAGTTTTATACCCAACAAAAATACCTTTCAAAAATAAAAGAAAATGAATTTTTCAATCAAAGGACAGTTGAGAAAATATGGTCAGCAGAACAGTACTACAGTAAATGCTAACTAACATTATTTACATAGAAGGGAAAGTGTACCAGGTGGAAGTATGAACCCGCACAGAGTGGTGGAGACTACTGGATATGACAAAGATGTGGGTTCAGAAGCATTAAGTTATGTTTTAATAATTTAAAACAACCTCTCAAGGGACAATAACAATAATGTACTAAAAAGTTTATAACATCTGAGGAAATGATATTTATGTCAGCAGCATAAAGGACAGAAAAGAATGGAGACACACTGTCCTAGAGTCTCCCTGCTTTATGTGAAGTGGTATAACATTATGTGAAGGCATGCCAGTAACTTAAAGATGAATACACTGTATTGTAAACTGTAGAGAAAAGGTATAGCTAACAACCATATCTATAATCATATTAAATGTAAATGGCCTAAACATTACAGTTAAAGGGCAGAAGTTGTCTAAGTGGATTTAAAAAAAAAACAAGAACCAACTATATTCTTTGTATAAGAAACCCACTTTCAGTAGAAAAACACATATAGGCCAAAAGTTAAAGGATGGAAAAAAATATATTACTTAAACACAAATTTTTCAAAGCTGGATCTGCTATCCTAACCTCAATAAAGGTTGATTTCAGGATAAGAAATATTACCATGGGTAAAGAAAGACATTTTATAATAACAAAGGGTCATTCTTTTAATTTTAAAATTTTTTTTAGTTGTTTAGTTTTTTTTTGAGAGGGTATCACTATGTAGTTCAGGCTGGGCTTGAACTCACTGCAATCCTCCTGCTTCAGCCTCCCAAGTGCTGAGATTTTACAGGCATGAGCCACCACGCCTAGCCAGAAGGGTCAATTCTTCAACAGGAGGTAATGATTTGAGGTACATATTCATCTAGCAACAGCAAAGTAGATGTTCTTTCCATGTGACACACAGAGCAGTCGCCAAGAGAGAACATATTCTGAGCCATAAAACAAGTTCCAACATATTTTAAAGGATTTAAGTAATAATAATCATGGTTTTAGACCATAACAGAATTAAACTAGAAATCAGTAACGGAATGATATCTGGAAATCCTCAATAATACAGAAATGAACTGACACATTTCTAAATAATTCACAAGTCAAAAAAGAAATCACAAAAATATTAGAAAATATTTTGATCTCAATAGAAATGAAAACAGTATTTTGTGATTTGTAGGTTGCCGTTATGCAGTACTTAGAAAAAAATAACATTAAATTCTTATATTAGAATTTCTTCCTTCTTTCTGAATTATAAGATGAAGAATTTAACATCAAAGTAAGCAGAAAAAAGAAATAATCTTATTCCAGAGAAGAGTGAAAAGAAATAAAACAGAAAAAAGAAAAACAGTACAGAGAAATCATTAAAGCCAAGACTTAGTTCTTGAAAAGTTTATTGATAATTCTCTATCAGAAAGAAAGAGAAGAGACACAAACTATCAAGATCAGAAATGAAAGAAGAGATATTACCAAGCCTACAAGTGATAAAAGAATAATAAAGAAACATTATGAGCACATGCAGGCCTATAGGTTTGAAAACTAAGATAAAGGGGCATTATACGTTTTGAAAGATGCAAACTACTCCCTCTAGAAGTATGTGCAGATAACATGTTTGTCTATGAAACAATCCAAAGGAGCTACAAAATGCTACCAGAAATACTAACGGAGGTTTGCAAGAATACAAGGTAGAAGACCAAAGTAAAAACAGTTAAGTACTTCTACATACTAGCTGTGAAAAACTGGAAATTGGTGAAAAAAATTTACAGTGGAATATAAGATGTAATATACTCAGTGCTCAGTTTAACAAAAGAAATGTGAGGCTCATTTGTGTGAGAACTACCAAATATCACTGAGACAAACTGAACAAAACCTTTCAAAAATGGAGAGATATTACTGCCTGCCTCACAAGTACAAGGTACTGAGTTTGATCCCTGGTACCCAAAATAATAATAATAATAATTTCTACCATGGAGAGATAAACCATGTTCATGGATTGGAACGTCTAGCGGCATGAGAATGGCAACTCTTCTGAAACTGAAGCAAAACAACCAACCCCCCCCAACCCAGAATTCTTTCTTATAGAAATTGACAAGATAGTTTTCATGGAAATGCAAATGATCTAAAATAGCTTAAAATTTTTTGGAAAATGACAAAACGTTGGAAGACATACTATATTTCAAAGCGTATATCATAAAACTATAGAGATCAAGATGGTGTGGTATTTGTGAAAGAATATACCCATAATCAGTGGGACAGAGTCCACAACTACACCCACATATCCATGGTCAATTAATTTTTGACAAGGTGGACAAGATAACTCAATGGGAAAATCATAATTCTCAACAAATGATACTAAAACAATTGGACACATACTTAAAGAAATCACCTTCAGGGCCGGGGATTTAGCTCAGTGGTTCTGATACCTGCCTCGCAAGTGCAAAGTCCCGAGTTCGATCTCTGTACCAAAAAAAAAAAAAAAAAAAGAAGGAGTGAGGACACAGGTAATGGGGAAAAAAAAAAAAAGAACCAAGATATATCATGTACAGGTACAAACACCCAATGATAAATGTAAGAGAATTGTATACCTAAAATGTACCAATAAAAGAACTAAAAAAAAAAAAAAGAAATCACCGTCAACCTTCACCTCACACCATATAAAAATGGATTCAAGGGGATTTAGCTCAGTGGTTCCATCGCCTGCCTTGCAAGTGCAAGGACCCAAGTTCGATCCCTGGTACCAAAACAACAAACAAACAAACAAACAAGCAAAATCGATTCAAAATAAATCCTAGGTTTGTTTCTTTTTTTTTTGGTACCAGGGATCAAACTCGGGTCCTTGTGCTTGCGAGGCTGGCAGCAGAACCACTGAGCTAAATCCCCAGCCCCTAGGTTTGTTTTTAACAAGCGGTCTCACTATGTTGCCCAGGCTGGCCCTGAATTCATGGATTCAAGTGATCCTCCTGCCTCCTGCTTCCTGAGTAGCTGGGACTACTAGTGGATATCCTAGATCTGAATATAAATCTATAAAGCTTTTAGAAAAAAATAAAGAATTTGGTAGTCTTGATTTGGGCAAAGGGTTTTGTTATACAGGACAAGAGCAAAAATCCTA